CCTCGAACTGATAATGTTGGCCGAGCTACCTGGATCCACAAGTACACGTTTAATTTTAAATGTATTCACAAGAAAAGAAATTATCAATGCGTCGTTATGAGGCTGAGACAGGGTCTCGATGCCCTCGTCGCTGAACGTGAGAGCATCCTCGGGTATGTAACCACGAGTTCTCTTTTCCCTGATGATGGATATTTTTGTTCTTTTGATAGTGGGTTCCTGTGGGATGTCCACTCCCCCAACAATCATGTGGATGACATGTTGTGGTTCTTCTGTTTCATTTTCCTGTTCGCCCCTCTTTCCTGAAATTGATTTTTGGCTCGATCACTGAGGAACTCTCGGAGGTGCCCTTTGCTAAGTAGTCGGGCTACTTCTTCTCGGAGCTGTCTACAATCTTCGGTCCTATGACCATGTGAGCCATGGAATTCGCACACCAGGTTAAGGTTCCTCTGCGATGGATTTGATTGTACGGGCCTTGGCCACCTGGTGTCCTTAATTTTACCTATGGTTGATACGATGTCTGAAATGTCGATGTTGAAGTTGTACTCAGATAACCGGGGTGCCTCAGTCGGCCCTGTGTATCTGTCGAATCCATCTCTATTTACGAGTCCCCGAGGATTCTGACCTCGATCTGTCCTTCGGTCATTTCGGGGTATGTTATGCCTTGGGGCGTTTCTTCGATCTTCAGTATATTGTTGGTACCTTTCCTTGTTTGGCTTTGGCTCCTTTGCCAGGAGCCTGCTAGTATATACTAAGCCCGAGGGGGCTCCCAGTTAGTCATCCTCGACCCTAATCTTCGATTGATATCGATTGTGTACATCCGACCAAGTCACGACGGGATACTCCACCAAATTTTCTTCAGCTACTTTGAAGCTACCTCATTCAAGCCTTGGGTGAAGGCCTGTACTACCCAGTCGTCGAAGACTGATGCTAACTCCATTCGTTCCATTTGAAAGCGAGATACAAACCCTCGCACCATCTCGTTTTCTCTTTGTTTGATCTTGAAGACGTCAGACTTCCTTGTAGCGACCTTGATGGCATCGACATGTGCCTTTATAAAAGAATCCGCCAGCATGGCGAATGAGTGTATTGAATTTGGGGATAGGTTGTGATACCACATCATGGCTCCTTTTGAAAGTGTTTCCCCGAATTTCTTCAATAGGACGGATTCAATCTCGTCGTCCCTCAGGTCATTTCTCTTTACGGCACAAGTCTAAGTAGTGACGTGCTCGTTGGGATCCGAGGTTCTGTTGTATTTTGGGAGATCAGGCATTCTGAACTTCTTCGGGATGGGCTTCGGAGCCGCACTCGATGGGAATGGCTTTTGTACGAATTTCTTTGAATCAACACCCTTCAGGATCGGGGGTACGCCCGACCCTTAAATTGTAGGTCTCTACCTTTTTGTCATTGGCTTTTATTTTCTTTTCACCCGATTCAATCCTCTTTGTAAGGTCCTCAAACATCTTCATAATAGCGGGGTCGGTTGCTGACCCGCTGTTGCTCGGTCTTTCCGGCACCTGTTCGGCTCGAGGGATCGTTTCCGGTGCTGATGTGCTTGAAGTTTTTTAGTGGCTTTGCAGTTGAGCAATCGCCAGTTGTTGTACCTGCAACATCTCAAGAATAATGTGAAGGCTAACCTCTTGTTCCTCCCGAGCTGGGGTTTTCTTGGCGTATACTCTTGTTAGTGTGGGAGCTTATATCAACATGTTGGGCGTTGCGCGAGACCACGTCCACATGAATTGGTTCCGGTGCGTCCCCAGTCTTTTGTGGTGGTATACCGACGCCTGGAACAGCTACACCATTCTCTCCATGGTCTTCAAGACCGTTGTTTTCATGTGCATTCACTGAGTTAGACATTTTGACCTGAAATCAAAGATTCTTGGGCAAGAAAAAGTGTGAAGAATAACTTGCGTTATTTAGTAAACCAGCACGAAAACAATCACTATTATTTTTAGCCCCGCGGTAGGCACCAAACTGTTTACCTGAAAAATGGTAATAACAATTAATTTGATTATGTGGTTCTAAAAATATGTGATTTATTCTTATGGTAGTTGTTAGGCAATAGATACTAAGTGTGAGCTAGGAAAATGAGATAAGAGCTTAAAGATAGAGTGTTATGCAAACCGAGTGGCCAAGAATCGGGGTCTCTAGCTAGGTTATACAGGGCCTCGGGGTCGAGCCAAGCATTGAGCTGTGGATGGCCGATGAAGAACTAACAGTTCTAAGAGCTTTAATAAGGGTTCTTTATGATCAATGATGAGTAATAAATGAAGAATAATTAATGAAACACAATAAATGTAAGGAATAAATCTAAGGAAAGACAATAGAGAGTGTTTAAGTTAGAGAGCATAGAATGTTCTTGTTGTTGTATTCAATATCATCCGTGCAAAAAAATAACAAGGGTCCCCTTTATATAGGAGGGGGAACCCAACATAGTACAGATGCGTTTATTACAAAGATATGCGGCTGGTACAATCATTTAATGCCACTGTACCGGGCTTGTACTATTCTTATGGACTTGGTCAGCTCTAATCACTCGCCTTGGGAATCTCCCACTCATTCATCATAGCCACCGATTCGTACTGCCCCAAGGTTGAGCTGTGCCTCGAGCCTTCTGGTTCATCAAACCTCGAGCTATGCCTCGAGCCTTCTGGCAACGAGCTACGGAATGCCATGATGACCCCAAAATCGGACTCTCCGATTTTAGCCGTATACAATATGTCCCAACAACTTCACAAGGAAGGTCTCTCACATCATAGAAAAACCATCTTGTTCCTCAATAGTATACTTAGCTAATGCATCCGCTACATGATTTGCTTCTCAATATCAATGACAAATGACACAATTGGCCTGAGCAAGTAGCTTTGTAGTTTCAAGAATAGCATCCTTTAATTGCCAAGCTATGTTGGTGGTGCCCTTGAGCATATTAATAAGCAACAAAGAGTCACACTCCAGTATAAAATTTTGAAATCCCTGAGAGATACACCATTGTACTCCTATTTTAGCAGCCTTTAATTTACTTCAGCTAGATTACTACTACCTCTGCCTAAGAATTGCGCAAACATCATGATCAAGCACCCTGAAACATCCCTTACTATACCTCCAGCTCTCACAAGACCTTCTCCATTGTGAGAGTCAACTGTGCTGATTTTAATCCAATCTACCGGAGGTCTTTCCCATTTAACAATAATGAATTCAATCTTGTGAAAAAGAGCTAAACACTATTGTCAAATGCCTCGCCAGTGCTATAGCCATACTATTTTGCTCTAAGACTTTGTCATCACCCACCTCAAGTGATAAATAGCTTGATAGATAAGTCTATTCTTAGATAGTTTTGCATTCCCATATCTTAATGCACACCTAGCCTTCCATATTTCCCAACAAATGAATATAAAAGTAATTTTGAGAATCTCCTTATGCAATCCATTTAAAGGTTTCACTGACCATCATTTCGTGAACATTACTTTAACAGAGACTGCTTCCCATGAAATCCTCATAGGACTTCCAAAAACCTTCCAAGCATTTTGGGCTGGTTATCCTTCCATAAATGTATGTTGTATAGTCTCCCCTTGAGCCATTGTACAACAACAACAAGTAGAAACAAAATTCTGGCCAAACTTAACTAACACTTCGTCGATCAAAAGGTAGTTTATTCTTGAACAACCTCCATAAAAGGAAATACATCTTAAAAAGGGAGGTGTTTATGCCACAAATTCTGAAGTGAAGTTACTATCCTCTCCCCTGTTTCTGTCTAGTAAGTTTCCAGGCAGAAGATGTTGAAATGGCTATCGGTACTAGACATCCAGATAGGCGAGTCGGACTAGAAGGGTTCCAATAGGTTTGTTGAGGATATGTTCAGCTAAATACTTTGGTAGATGCAAGTGTTCTATATTCCAAACGCCATCTCTAATGACATCATGGACAAGCTAGTCCCTAGGGGTAATGTCATATGAAATGACCAATGCCATTGCTCCCAAGCCTGTCCAATTATCCTACCACAGACTAGATGAATCAGAATTAACCTTCCATAGTAGATGCTTTTCTCCTTTGTCTTTTACTTCCATCAATTTCTTCCACCCATGTGATAGCCCTGCTCGCCACTTCCTATCAACTGGGTGTGAGAGTCTGCAAAATTTGGACTTTAGAAACTCCACCCAGATGGAATTACATGTTCTAAATCGCCACCACCTTTTCATTGGAAGTGCTTCACTAATATCTTTCAATCTTCTACAGTCGGTGCCTCCCTCTTCAGTAGGAAAACACATCTTACTCCATAAGCTCCAGTGGTATCTCTGTTTCCCTTCACTTGTACCCCAGAAGAATCTAGACATGTAGCTCTCTATTTGTAGCAAATTAGACTATGGAAGTTCCATAGCAGCCAATAAGTAAACTGGTTGTGATTGTAAAACATGCTTAATAAGGACTACCCTGCCTCCGACCGATAACAATTTCCCATGCCACCCTTCTATTTTCCTCGTATCTTAGATACAGAGTCATTGAAAGTCGAAATCAACTTCCTCCCAACATAAGAGGACAACCAATATATATATGAGGAAATTCTGTGTTTGTAGCCAGTGATATGCTTAATTAATCCTTGCTATATCATTAGGATGTTTGGTTAAAAGCAACTCTTGTCTTTATTGATCAATTGTCCTGAGCATTCTGCATATTTCTGGAGTTGGAGCTTCGCCAAGTTCAGAAAAACCTGATATCCTGTTGAGAATATAATTTCTAAAAGTTCAATCCACTTTTTAATTTGTTCAAAGGCCATAACGAACCCATTTTGGTTGTTTGTTTTAGGTACGACGTAGCGGTTTGAAACAATTCAAACACTCACTCAAATTCAACATGTTTAAAGGGCGATCAATCAATCTAACTTCTACTAATAAAATTCAACGAATAAAACACACACA